CATATATATATACACACACATACACTTTAAATAAATTTCTCCTTTTTGAATTTTATTGGTGCACTTTAAGTGTATGTATTTACTCGTCAATTTATATATTTCCGCTTTTATTTTTAATTATGTCCGTTTCGGTCCTCCGTACTGCAGAAGCCTGATAATCACCCATTCATTCAAATCAGGTGTGTTTGAGCAGAGAAAAAAATAAAACATGCAGGGCTGCGGCCCTCGAGGACCAGGATTGCCCACCCCTGCTAAAACTCATATCTCAAGTTTCACAGGAGCTATGAACGGATGCTAATATTAAATGTCTACACTCGTGCACAACACCATTTGTTTAGTTGGTCATCTTTTTTTTAACTGTCTGGCTGATCAGCACATCTAATCAGTCCAAACGTTTACTCAACTCCTGGCAGACTGCTATATCTGCAGCACCATCGGCACATAACGATCTGTGTTCTGTATGCTCAGCACACAGACGTGGTTCGGTTTACGAAAAAAAGCAACAAGTTAAACAAAAGACTTCGAGGATAAGTGTAAAGGCTAATGTGGCATTCTTTCACACTGATTTTTCATTGTTTTATTATTAAAAATGATTAAATTAGTTTTCAAAATGAGCAGGATTTGGTTTTGGAACTAAAAAAAAGAAACTAAAAACAAAGGAGAGTGAGGACAGAAAAATAAGTGTTTAAAAGACAAAGAACAGAATTTGGACCAAAGGAAAGTTTGGCGTTGATTTAATGTGTCCAGATGTGAAATGTTACACTGCAACAACACATCTGGAAAGATGTAGAGAAAATTTGTTCAAAATTCTACGAAGCACAACATCCTGAAGAAAAACAAACGTCCAGGTTTGGTTTCATCTCTGAGTGGAAGGCAGAGGGTTTGTTTCTCAACCTAAAAGCTCCACTGAAGTGTTGGGAAGGGTCGGACTGCAGCTTCCGTAGGAAACTTCACCAACACTCGGTGGAAACTCGTGAAACACTTCGAAAATGCACACCGATGGTCGTACGCTTGTGTTTGCAATCAAATTCCAGATGTGGTGTTTCATGGCTGGGAGGCAGCCTCGGCGGTCTTATTGGGTGCGACGGAGCACCTGGATGTTCGTCGCGCACGCGGATACGTGCAAACGTTTTAAGTGTGGGTTCAGTCCGCATCCGTCTTAAATCGAGCGCGATTCGTCACAGCAGGTGACAATTATGAGCTCAAACGTAAGCTGCCGTCAGGACAGAACAGGCAGGAGGAAAGGAGAGGTAATCCTGGCCCCTGCAGAACTTTCTGTTTCAGCTCGAGCTGTGTGGTCCGACCCACGGAGCTGATCAAAGCTCACAAATCAAATATCAGAAAAGTTAGGATCGTCTGCAAAATCCAAACGTTCATGCAGATCGAATCAGYCGTCAGTTCCTGCATTTTGGCCGACAGAATCCATAAAAAAATTAAGATGTGGGGAAAATCACACAAAGATTTAGCAGGTGATTAACAATACAGTTTTGAACAAAAGCAGCTAAAATATTTTTTATCGTTCTTTTAATTGTTTATTTGAACAGGAACAAGTACACTGTAAAAAATGAAATGTTGGATTTACTTAACCAAGTTATGTTACCTGGTTCCACTTAACTGAGTTGAGTAAATTCAAAGCAGTTTTTTTAGCCAAAGAACATGAGTATATTGCTTTGAATTTACTCAACTCAGTGAAGTGGAACCAGGTAACATTACATGGTTAAGTAAATCCAACATTTCATTTTTTACAGTGTATAAACAC